TATTTATATAAATTTTTCATTTTTTAAACACTGTCTGCATATTGAGGGTGGCTAACCTGGTTGACATTCTTTGCTTATCCGGAACTGTAGACAATTTTGATGCTTTTAAGTACAGAAAACGAACATTACAAACAAAATATGTTTATTCATATCATATTTTATAAATTACAAAAACTATTTTGAAAACCAACGTAATTTACTCATATCATGTTTTCTTAACTTGAAAAATCATTTCATTGGAAATTTTTAATCTTACACACACTTGATATATATTTACATAGTTCTATTCAAAGATTTTCCATATTTTATTAAAGATATTCCTCTAAACAAAAAGTCACAAATCTTAATTCAAGATACTAACTATAATAAATTACAACTTCCTATTGTCAAGAAAATATTTCTTCGCGTCAAATTTATAATTTGTTAATGCAGAAAAAAATGTTGTTCTCTAAAAAATAAATATATCATATGAATGAATAAAATATTCATTAGTTAATATAGTGACTACTAAATGCTTTCAAAGGTCTACAGTGCAATGGTTTGCGCCGCACCTCGTCTGTGGCGCTGAACCAAAGCCCTCATGTAACTAGATAAATACGCCTTCGTATATCAGTATAAAATTATTAATCTTAGAACGTGCAATTATTTAATTAGTTGCAATTTTATGTTTTTATGTCAGTTTTTTATAAATTATATATAATGTATTTATATTTATATTTATGCTAAATATTTTACTAAACTTGATCAAAATTTATTAAGCTTATCTGTATATCGTGAATAGTTGCCTCAAAAAGGAAATCATTGTGAATGTTGGGAAAAAGAAGCAATAAAATCCAAAATAAAAAAGTTCAGATAAGCAAAAAAAACTTTACTTAGCGTAATTTTCGTTGCTTGTTCGCGAAGTTATAATAAATTCATTATTAAGTGAAGAATTAGTATTATATTTTCTAAAAATCACCTAAGCAAATATAAAAACGTTATAAAGGGTCCAAGAACTGCATGTAAACTAGTGTGCATTCAAATATACATGTATACATATGTTGAAAAATAAAACTATAAGGGTTGAAAAATACATATTTATATATATGTAAGTCGCCATATGAGATAAGGGTAGGTTGCATTTGTCATCATTGAGGAAAAAACCGGCTAAGAGTATATTCGATAGTGATTTTCTACAGTTGAACAGAAGCACTCGGAGCGCACAGACCAGATACACGGTTTGGCAAAAACGGCGGCGGCTTTTCATAAACTTTAGAATATTTTTCTTTTTTACTTGCACCTCCTCGTTCGTTCCATACCCTTACTGGTGGGATTTCTCTTTGCTGCTGTTATACCTACAAAAAAAAAGTGGAAACGATTGCAAACCGATTAAAGATGGCTGAAAATTGTCCAAAGTGTAAAAAATCAATCAACTCCAAGGATCCAATTATTATATGCAACTCAGATGATTGCCTGAAAAAGTTTCACCGAACATGTGTTAACGTTGATGACGCCGTTTATGATGCCATACAAAAAAATCCATTGATTGCATTTAACTGTGATGAATGCAAAAATCAATCGCCAAAGGCGCTGGCCGCCAAGTTAAGCACTATGGAGGATAAGCTGAATAAAGTCTGTAATGGTATTAATCAAATACAGGGACGAATGTACCAACAATATTTTCAATTTGGAAATGCCAATAATGTGGATGGAAAGAAACAGACTAACAATCTAATTGTGGTTGGCAACAATTGTAATTCAGATCGTCTGCAAGTGGTCTGCGACTATGGGCGTTGGGTGCAAGTAGGCAAGTTTGCAACTTCAACCAGTGAAGACGATGTCATTGAGCACTTGGCAGAAGAGCTTAAAATTAATAAGAACTTAGTTAAGTGCACTAAACTAGTGAAGAACGATGCAAACTTATCGCAATTATCATATTGCAAATTTAAAATTTCTATACCAGATTATCGCTTCAGTGAACTGTTCAATGAGTCCATTTGGCCCAGGTAAATATATAAAATAATAATAATTAAATAAATTAACAATTGTAAAATATTTAATAAAATTATAATTTATTTTAGCGGCGTTATGGTAAGCCCATTTACCCCACGTTCACAGTTGAACCAAAATCGTATTTGAAGGAAAAAGGGGCAAAAGAAGGGTAAAAGTCACCAACCAGACGAGCAAACGTGTGAAAGAGATGGCAAGTAATGCACTCCTTGATAATATAAAACATATGAAATGAATCTGTTGAAGGTGTAGTGAAGTTAATCGTGATGTGTGTGTGCATGGTTGGGGACTGGGTGAGTTAGGCAAAGTCGCTGGCAAATGAAATTTTAAAACTTTTTCTTATAAAACTTCAGCGATTAAATAATAATTCAATTTACTGAAAATATATTACAATGTTTATCCCTTCTATTCAAAAATATTTCAAAATAACAATTTATAAAATAAAAGCTTAACAAGATTTAAAAATGCATTTCAAATATTTTAGAATTGAAACTTAAATTATTAATGAAATTAGCAACTTACTCGTATATGTCGTATATTTACACCACATTAAGCAAAAATAAAAAACAAAAGTATAAAATATAAAACATTTAAAAGATTTTAAAGAATATTTAACCTAAAAAGAAATAAAACGATTTTCAAAACACATTATTAAAAAAAAAAACATTTTTAAATCAACAAAAATTATAAAACGAGAACTTTCCAAAGATTTTGCTTTAAGTAAATATTTTCAAATTTTCGATTATATTTTTTTTCTATTATTTAATATATAATACTTTTAAATTTCTATGAATTTAAACAAAAAATACAAAAAAAAAATATTAAAAATTTATAAATTAGTTTTTACTTTAAGACTTTATTAATTATTTTTCATACTTTTAAGCTCATTTGTTCATATATTCTTTGCAAGTATTTTACTGGAATTTTAACAAAAGCTTTTATAAATAATAAAACAATATGATGATGATAAAACAATAAATGATTTAAAATTATAAAATATTATTCAACTTTTAAAATGAAAGAAATACATATATTTAATATTTACAATTTATTCTCTTACAAGTTAAAATATGAATTAATATATTCGCAAGCGTAAACAAGGATAATGGCAAAATTATTTAAGCAACAAACACAAACAATAAATTTATTATTAACAAAACAAAATGTAGAATTTAGAAAATTTTAAAAGCTTTTCCAATATATAAGAAAACAAATTTTTCAAATTTTAGAAACTACCGATATAAAATTTAAATGAATAAGATAAATTCGTTTTTGCCACATTTCATTGTCAACATAAAAATGTCGAATACAGTTTCGAAATATTCTCATTTAATATCATTTATAAGATATGCATTAAAAATTTTTACATTCATGTAAACTTTATAAAATTTATAAAATTTTATGTTTTTAGTAAAAAAAGTGAAAATACATAAAAAATTAGTTATTTACCCAAAATGTATTTAGTATACAAACAAAAAAAAAATCAATATGCATGCATGTATTTATGTCGAATTTTTAATAAATTCAGAAAAATATACAAAATATGTTTCATTTTTTATTTTTTTTACTAATTAAGTCTTATGTAGGTTAGGTTATGCTGGCAGACCAAAAAGGTCGCACGTTAGTAAGGCTTATGTATATATATGTTTATCGGGAATATACTATAAACTATAAATCAATCATATAAAATATTAATATATGTTTATTTTTAATATTATGTTTATATTTATTGCGATTTATATCAACAAATAAAATTTTTTTTTTTATTCTAGGAAGATTATAATTAATTTAGGCTTCAGGATAAATATCAAGCTTTATATAAAAATAAAATATATGTTTATCGGGAATATACTATAAACTATAAATCAATCATATAAAATAATAATATATGTTTATTTTTAATATTATGTTTATACTTAATGAGATTTATATCAACAAATAAAATTTTTTTTTTTATTCTAGAAAGATTATAATTAATTTAGGCTTCAGGATAAATATCAAACTTTATATAAAAATAAAATATAGGTATTTTATTAGAGTTTTATAAAGCCAACGTTTCGTAGTTCTTTTGACTTCTTCCCCAGTGCGGGTTATTTGAAATTATTTTTTAATTTTTACATTTAATAAATAAAATGAGTTAATTTTTAAGAATGCATAGATGTATTCATATAATAATTACGAAATGTAGCTACCTGCACTGCCCCTAATGTTACGAATTTGTTTAACTTCTTTCCTCAGGTCGGGTTTTTTGAATTATTAAATATAATAAATTAAATATTGAGTTTATTAAACTCAATATTTTATTTTTGAATGATATATAGAATTAGTACGAGCCGTATTAATTTAATAAATTCAATCAGTCCATTTTTAATAAAATATAGGCAGTGTTTAAATTTAATTAATGCCTTAATATTAATTATTTTATGACAAACAATTTTATACCATGTATTGTGGTTTATTGAGTTTTAAACAATAGTTTAAAGTAATTGACAAATTAACCGAATATGAAACTATATTAATTCCTAAATGTGAATAGTTCAATTAAAATTTTGGGGAATATATATAATAAGTTTTAACTGCAAATAGGAATGAATCTTGATTGAAATCTACTAGGCAATAGAAGAAAAGGAATATGCAAAACCCTACTGTTAAAAAAAAAAGATAAAAAACAGGGACAGGGTTATAACGGTGCGAAGCGACTATCATAAAACCGCAGACGATTCGGATATTTTATTGATGCCCAATTCTTCTTATGTATTAGAAGATACTGATGTTGTAGATTTATTATTAATCAAATGAGTCAACACATTTGGATATAGACATAGATATAATGAACATAGTTTAACATAATCATTGAATGATATATTAATCTTTACATAATTTAAAAAATAAGCTTGTTTAATATAGGATAATGAAACATGGTATCTTATATGTTTTAGATAGAGTAATCATTTGACCTCTTTTTGAACGGAACTGTACTATTTTAAAGTTATCTGTCCTAAAATAACATGAATCGTTATGTTTTTGGAAGATGTTGCAAATCTGGGACTTTTAAAATATATACAATCATTTTACAAATCATTACATCAGCCTTGACGATTCATAATCTATGTTTAAAAATCTGCGATTAACTACACGAAGTGATTCTAATCAATATTTATAAAAAAATATACTGTACATAACGTTTATGTTAACAGTTAATGAAATAACTACCGTCATTAAAGTGT